TGACTGGGAACAGTTATGGACCACAGGTATGAAGTTTACGGCATGTAATGCCTTAAGAGGGAATATTATGAAAATGATATACAGGTGGTACATAACCCCAGTCAAGCTTGCAAAAATCTATCACTTGCCCGATAATAAATGTTGGAAATGTAAAGAAACTGAAGGTACATTCTTTCACCTTTGGTGGACGTGCCCAAGGATTAAGGCTTTCTGGGAGATGATCTATAATGAATTGAAAAAGGTATTTAAATATACCTTTTTGAAGAAACCAGAGGCCTTTCTCCTGGGCATAGTCGGCCAATTGGTGCCAAAGAAGGACAGAACTTTTTTTATGTATGCCACAACAGCAGCAAGAATACTCATTGCAAAGTATTGGAAGACACAAGATCTACCCACCCTGGAAGAATGGCAGATGAAGGTGATGGACTATATGGAACTGGCAGAAATGACTGGCAGAATCCGAGACCAGGGAGAAGAGTCGGTGGAAGAAGATTGGAAGAAATGTAAAGCCAATTTACAGAAATATTGTAAAATTAATGAATGTTAGAATGATGTAATGATGTAAGTGGTTTCTAGCTGTAATACTATAAGGGAATATGAAAAATGGATTACTAACAGGTAAAAATTTAATGTTACAATACTTTAAGATTAAAGACTTGGATAAACAAAGAGGGGAAGGATTTGCTGAACCAACAAACCGAACTGGAATACAAAAAAGGGAGGCGTGAGGAGGTCCGGGAAATAAGCTAATGAAAAATAAGTAATGGAAAGATGGAGTTGTTTTTAACTATTTTTATTTTGTGTTTTTCTTTTTTTCCCCTTTTTCTTTTGTAATATTTTGAAAATTTCAATAAATATCTTATAAAAAACAAAAACAAATCCAAACTCTTCTTTTTCTTTGATTTTGTCAAAATTCAAAGTGAATTTGGAAGGATAAGTTTGTCCTTCACGAAATTCAAAAGAAGCCCAATGAGATTTGATAAGGCTATGTATGTTTATTTTGTGTATACCCATATATTTCAGGGGCAGGGGGAAGCTATGCACCCCTAGTGGAAACGGGAAGAGATTTGCTACCCTTTTAATGGAACTATAAATATTAGTATTTCTGTACACCAGTTGCTCACAGCTGTATATTTCCGTCTTAAACAGCCTCAAATATGGTGGATTATTTTCACAAGACTGGGGCCAAAGATGAAAGGGGGCTGGTTAAGACTGGATTTACATAAGGCTATGCATGTCGTTTTATATGTGTTGGTCTCTAAGGCATTTATTGACCTTTTGATCACTTTGCCACATATATTTGGAATAGAATCAGAGAAGGAAGGAGCATGGAGATGATCCATTCATTTGCTGCCGCCACCGCTGCCTAAGAGAAACCAATTTCCTTGAGGAATTTTAATGAGAGTGATTTGAAAATGACTTTTGGAGAAATGGTGTTTAAGTTGCTTCAACTGTGTAGCCAGATGTCTGGCTATAAAGGTTTTATTTATACATTCATTCGGTTAAATCAGTGCTCCCAATGAATACTCTTGATGTCAAGTGGATTTGTGATATACCGTGAAAAGATTGGGATGATGACTGCAATGGAATAAATAAAATCATGCATGCATGGAGTTTCCTAGTCTATGGGAGACCTCTTCAGCTGTATGGCACATCCTCCTCTGGACAGCTTCTTTTAAATGAAAGCCTTTTCTCTGCCTTTCAACCTCAGACATGCAGATGACACAACTTTGATGGCAGAAAGTGAGGAGGAATTAAAGAACCTCTTAATGAGGGTGAAAGAGGAGAGTGCAAAATATGATCTGAAGCTCAACATCAAAAAAACTAAGATCATGACCACTGGTCCCATCACCTCCTTGCAAACAGAAGGGGAAGAAATGGAGGTAGTGAGAGATTTTACTTTCTTGGGCTCCATGACCACTGCAGATGGGGACAGCAGCCACAAAATTAAAAGACGCCTGCTTCTTGGGAGAAAAGCGATGACAAACCTAGACAGCATCTTAAAAAGCAGGTCCGTATAGTTAAAGCTATGATTTTCCCAGTAGTGATGTATGGAAGTGAGAGCAGGACCATAAAGAAGGCTAATTGCCGAAGAATTGATGCTTTTGAATTATGGTGCTGGAGGAGACTCTTGAGAGTCCTGTGGACTGTAAGAAGATCAAACCTATCCATTCTGAAGGAAATCAGCCCTGAGTGCTCACTGGAAGGACAGATCCTGAAGCTGAGGCTCCACTACTTTGGCCATGAGAAGAGAAGACTCCCTGGAAAAGACCCTGATGTTGGGAAAGATTGAGGGCACAAGGAGAAGGGGACAACAGAGGACGAAATGGTTGGACAGTGTTCTCGAAGCTACCAGCATGAGTTTGACCAAATTGCGGGAGGCAGTGGAAGACAGGAGTGCCTGGCGTGCTCTGGTCCATGGGGTCACGAAGAGTCGGACATGACTAAATGACTAAACAACAACAGAAAATTATTGTTTGTGTTGGCCACATGATCTACTTTAAAGGGGATAGTCCTCTTGGTGACGGGATGTTTGAAGGATGCTGTCTCCTGTCCAAGTCCAGTTTAAAGAGAAAGACCCATAAAAAGGGAGCTTAGGAGCCTTGAGGTTGTCCACCAACAGTTTGTCCCTGGACAGCAGACTGCGCAGTCATTTAGGCTGCTTTACCCCTACAGTGAGATGTATTGTATTTCTATTTAAATTAAAGTCAGCATATTTCTAAATGTGCATCTCTACATATACATATGCATGCATACATTTTATGCAAATCCTCTTTTCATGTGCTGAATTTCCTCTTTGCTTTTCTGAAACATGTAGGTAGCCATCTTCTTACAGGAAAAAAAAAATTCATTGTTTGATAGACAGCTGTGTTTTAATGCAGTATTTACCACTATTCTATTTCTCCTAATTTGATGCCTTTTAATAAGAACAAGACTTGATTAGATATGACCATTCAACCAGTTCAGCACTTTGTTCCTAGCAGCAGCCAGCCATAAAAGAGCATCATGGTGGTAGCCGCCCAACTTTTGTTGCCAACATTTGACAATTGCTTAGGAGTAAATTTTGATGCTTCAGAAATTACAGGAAGTTCATTGCCCAGTAAGCAAGTTAGATTTGGAAGCCTCCACACTCTTTGTCATTACTAGCAGCCACACAGCCACTTTTCTGATGTGTGTATCCCTAAAATGTGTATCCTTGATACTATCTGCCTAGCCTTTTCTTAAGCTTCTGAAGGAGGAGATTCCGCAACAATTCTGTTCAACCTGTTCCATCGCTTGGAAACACAGAAAAGCACAGAGCCATTCTTCCCAATAATTGGACTGCAGTATTCTTGAGTTCTTATTCTTATTTAGGCTTCTTTGTTTGCTTTCCAGAGTCTGTTCCCTCTTAGCAGTCTAACCAGCAGCTATATAAATGGAAAGTGCCAGTTCCAGATAATAATGGAGTGGGACAAAGAGTGTGAATGAAGTGCCATTGTTAGCCTCAGTACACCACACTCCCTCATTCTGCTGCACTATAATTTAATTTCTTTATAGGCTACAATACAGGATGTTTTATTTTCCTGCAGTCTGAAAACTAGATGGAGCACACCGGGTAAGATGGGATGAAAGGGATATTGCTTTTGCACATGACATTGGGATAGATGAGTTTTGGGATTCCAATCCACAATATTCAACAAATATGACCTCCTCCTCCTCCAGCACTGGGGAAAGTGACACTGGTCTATTTTTCTATCAGAATAGTTCATCCCAGTATTCTGAACCCAATACATTTCCTTAGATGGCTAATTCAATGACTATTTTCTTGGTATAAGTTGAAGTTTGTATTTTCGGGATACCCTTTTGTGATTTGGTGGGAAAACCCCATCACAAAATTTGGAGAAGCAGACGTTTTAATAGAAAGCTATGTTTCAATACCTGTATTGTTTTGAGAAGTGCACGTTTTTTTAACATTTAATGTTTTAATATGTTTTTGTATATGCTGGAAGATGCCCAGAGTGGCTGTGGCAACCCAGTCTGATGAGTGGGGTACATATAACAAAATTATTATTGCTATTATTATTATTATTATTATCATTATCATTATTGTTATTATTACAGTGGTACCTCGGGTTACAGACACTTCAGGTTACAGACACTTCAGGTTACAGACTCCGCTAACTCAGAAATAGTACCTTGGGTTAAGAACTTTGCTTCAGGATGAGAACAGAAATCATGCGGTGGCGGCGTGGCGGCAGCAGGAGGCCCCATTAGCTAAAGTGGTACCTCAGGTTAAGAACAGTTTCAGGTTAAGAACGGACCTCCGGAATGAATTAAGTTCTTAACCTGAGTTACCACTGTATTACTCTTACTATCAGTAGGTTCACATTGAAATGCAAACTGAATGGCATTTATCCCCTTCCCTAGCCCTGACAGAATGGTTGCTCCCCATGAACATTTTTGGAACATTTTTGTTTTGTTTTTCATGGAACATTTTTGTTTTGTTTTGTTCCTCTTATCATTGCATTTACCCCTTTTCAAGAAAATATTGCTCTCTGTTTCCAATAGGTTTTCTCTTCACTCTGTCTCTTGATGTAGTCACAGGCATCTCAGCAGCTAAAACCTTTTCTGAAGTTTCACTGTCAGTTTGCACTGTCACGGTCCCATTTGTTCTGAGACTCTATACTCCCATTATCTGATGTAGGTACATCTGCATTCCCAGTTATTCCATAAGTCATTGGTTCAAGGCTGTGCAGTTCAATTCCTCCCATAGAAAGCTGTATCATCAGTCTAACAAGATATGAGCCTGGGGTATTGTGCTGCCTGGTTACGTTTGTGGGTTTCCACACTACTGGGCTTGGCCCCTATCAGTTTCGAATCTTTGACATAATTTCAGTTGGACATCTGTGTCTCCTCTTACCATCTGAGGTTTCAGTAAGGGTTCTCAGACAGGTAGCCTGCATTTAAAGTTGTCTAGGTAAGCCGGTATCTCTTATAGGTGGAGTTCTATAATCGAGTAGTTAATGGCACAGGACCGCGTTGTCCAGATTTGATTTCTTCAGAATCCTCTTTATCGTTTGAAATACTCTTTTTGCCATAGCATTGGCCTGGGGAAATAATGGATCTGATGAAGTGCAGACAATAGTCCCATTCTTCGGCAGATATTCCGAAGGCCCTGCAAGAAAATTGAAGGGTGTTGACACTTCAGTTTCTTCTGGTATACCATTGCCTTGTGATTATAGAGTTGTGGTTTTGGATTGCTGATTTGTCACGTCCTCAAGCGAGCATATTTCAGTATATTTGAACAGTAAACAATCAGATCAAATTCAAGTACAGTGGTACAGTGGTACCTCGGGTTACAAACACCTTGGGTTACAAACACTTCGGGTTACAGACTCCGCTAACCTGGAAGTAGTACGTCGGGTTAAGAACTTTACCTCAGGATGAGAACAGAAATCGCACAGCGGTGGCGCGGCAGCGGGAGGCCCCATTAGTTAAAGTGGTGCCTCAGGTTAAGAATGGTTTCAGGTTCAGAACGGACCTCTGGAAGGAATTAAGTTCGTAACCAGAGGTACCATTGCACCTCGGTTTATGAACTCAATCTGTTCCGGAAGTCCGTTCTTAAACCAAAACTGTTCATAAACCAAGGTGCACTTTCTCCAATGAGGCCTCCCGCCGCCGGTGCCCTTCCACCACTCGGCTTCTGTTCTTAGACTGAGGTAAAGTTCTCAAACCGGCACACTATTTCTGGTTTTGCGGAGTTTGTAAGCTGAATCATTCTTAAACAGGACTGTTCTTAAACTCAGGTACCATTGTATGTCAGTTTTAAAATTCTGCCTAAGTCTACTGGCACTTCATGAAACATCACTAATGGTATCCTAACAGAGAGACATAGCTTGCAATGATTTCCAAATTTTAAACTTTACAGCGGTTTGTGCCTCCAAGGCAATTCAAGATCAATTGCTTTTGGGCCATATTTAAGGAAATTCATATCTACCAGAGCTGATGAATTCAGTGTACCAATGAAGACATCATGTGAACTCTTATCTTTGGCTTGGGTTGTGTTTGCTTTGAGACTAGCTGTCTTTATAGGCTGGAATTACTTACCCACTTGCGTAGGAGTAAGCCTGACTGAATGGAATTTAATGTCCAGGCATCCTAGCTGGGTGTTGATGGGAGCTGCAGTCCAAAGTATTTGGAGGGCACCAGGATGGTGCATGCTAGTGTCATTAGTTTTGCATTGCATCTTGCTCCTGCGTTCTGGCAATGCTCAATGTACTTACTTTTGCAAAATAATGAAGTGCTACATTCCTTTGACGAGTCGGTCCTTCTTCAAGTGCTTTTAGCAAGCTGTGCCTTTAAAGCAGCTTGCCTTAAACCTAATGGGGATTGAAGCAAGGTATAGAGAAAACCAAGGGGGAAAAGGTTACGAGAAAAAGACTGCAATTTAGTTGCTTGACATTTCTCTGCACAACCACTTCCATTTTAGAGCAGGGGGTGCTTTCTGAGCAGCAGCGCTCTCTACCAATTTGAACTTTTGGGACTACAAGCAAGTATATATTTACCTTCCCCGCAAACACTGAACATTGAGTCTATAAGTGTACCCTATTAAGGCAACTTTCAATTATTGAATCTGAATATTTGATCAAATCTTTCCATGTCAAAAACACATTTCATATCATTTCTGTTCTGGATATTATTTCCAGCTTCCTGACTCCTCCCCCCAACTCCCCAACCCCTATATTTCATAGATTTGATGTTCACAAGCAGAATTAGGGAAATGACAGGAAATGGTTCTGGGGACAATTATAATAGCCAATATGCAGTGTGCATTGACAGGAGGCCTAGTGTGTCTTTTTGCATTCATAACATACTTATATAAAACATTTATACACTCCCCTTCATGTTACATTTCACGGTGGTTGTACAGGCCAAGATGAAACACACAGAGATAAAAGGAATACAGAAAACTGTGAAACGCTGAATGCATAAACTAAACTTTAAGAAAGCAGTGGATGTGCAAGTGGTCCTGCCTTTGACAATAGGTTGGTCAAAAATGTGATTTTTTTTCAATTGCCTAGGCCCATAAAGACATTATAGGTAAAGGTAAAGGGACCCCTGACCATTAGGTCCAGTCACGGATGACTCTGGGGTTGCAGCGCTCATCTCGCTTTATTGGCCGAGGGAGCCAGAGTACAGCTTCCGGGCCATGTGGCCAGCATGACTAAGCCGCTTCTGGTGAACCAGAGCAGCGCACGGAAACACTGTTTACCTTCCCGCTGGAGCAGTACCTAGTTATCTACTTGCACTTTGAGGTGCTAGGTTGGCAGGAGTAGGGATCGAGCAACGGGAGCTCACCCCGTCACGGGGATTCGAACTGCCGACCATCTGATCGGCAAGTCCTAGGCTCTGTGGTTTAACCCACAGCACCACCTGCGTCCCTATAAAGACATTATAAGCACCAGAATAAGCTCTAGTGGCAGCCCTGAGGTCTCCCTAGACAAGGTTCCATCCACTCCCCAGGTGCTTCTCTGATGGCACTGGCCTGGACCCGTCCTCTAGCACACCACTGTGGTGGTCTGGCTCCCTTCCCACAGCCTTGAGGCAGTCCCCACTCTTCCCAGTGAGTTTACTGATTGTTGGGGGAAGGCAGTGGCAGGAATCAGTGGCAAGGCAAGATGTTGCCCGGTGCTTCTCCTTTCTGCCTTTCTCCTTTCCCTCAAAACTGGTACAACTTTTTTCTTTTCTTTGACAGACTTATTGCTGAGAGTTGGCTCCCTTGTGGACGTCACCTTTCTCTCAAATGCTTGTGGCCTCTGATGAAACATGGGGGATGGGGGGATGGTACATACCTTCACTCAACAACAGACCAAGATGGAGATGGGTCTGTAGAAAACACAAAGTCCCTCAAAGCCAGCTACTGTCATCTGGATTCCTACACACATTTGAGAAATGGGCGTAGATGCCCTTGGTAAGTTGCTTATCTCTTTTCATCCATTAGCAGTGGAGTAGAGACGGAAGGAGCACGCCCAGTCCTACACCATATGTAAGCTTTTCTGCTGACCCTGAACCAGACGTGTGATATATTTATTTCTTCCTATGGTTTCATGCCTGTACGTAACAATTTCGGGTTACTTGACTGGAAGAAAGGAAATGCAATTGTTTTAACATTTAATCTCCCGATTCAGATACACGGCAGTGAAGTGAATTAATTGTGAGTTTGATATAATATGTCGGAAAGAAAGAATAATTCCCTGTAGATCAGAGCGATTAGCAGGCATTATTGAGATGATTGTTTTTCTTTTGGATTTTCACTTCAGCCTATGTTAATCAGAGAGAGCAAAAGAGGGCAAGCCATACTTATTTTTCTACAAGCATATGTGGTTAATAGACTTTGAAATCTGAAGGTGGTATAGTTCATCCGATTATAACATTGGTATAGTGTGACCTGGGATATACATATGAGTGTTTGGCTATTCTGAGACTCATTTTTGTGGGGGGGAAATCCCTCCTTAAGTGGAAGAGTTTTCTGAACAGAGATGGTCAGGGTGTTTATTTGTGACCCATTTATCCTATGTTAGTGGATTAAACCACAGAGCCTAGGACTTGCCGATCAGAAGGTCGGCAGTTCAAATCCCCGCGATGGGGTGAGCTCCCGTTGCTCGGTCCCAGCTCCTGCCAACCTAGCAGTTTGAAAGCACGTCAAAGTTCAAGTAGATAAATAGGTACCACTCTGGCGGGAAGGTAAACGGCGTTTCCGTGCGCTGCTCTGGTTCGCCAGAAGCGGCCTAGTCATGCTGGCCACATGACCCGGAAGCTGTACGCCGGTTCCCTCGGCCAATAAAGCGAGATGAGTGCCGCAACCCCAGAGTCGGCCACGACTGGAACTAATGGTCAGGGGCCCCTTTACCTTTAGCCATCCCCCAACTGCCATTCAGTACAAATTCCCTGTATTAATTTTCAGTTGTGCTGCCATGGCTGAGCCAGTTGCACAACTGCCATGCAAGGGGACGAGGGTGGCACTGTGGTCTAAACCACAGAACCTCTTGGGCTTGCCGATCAGAAGGTCAGCGGTTCGAATCTGTGTGATGGGGTGAGCTCCCGTTGCTCTGTTCCAGCTTCTGCAAACCTAGCAGTTCGAAAGCACACCAGTGCAAGTAGATAAATAGGTACCGCTGCGGCGGGAAGGTAAATGCCGTTTCCGTGCTCTCTGGCTTCCCTAACGGTTTTTCATTGCACCAGAAGCTATTTAGTCATGCTGGCCACATTACCTGGAAAGCTAGCTGTGGACAAACGCCGGCTCCCGCAGCCTGAAAGCGAGATGAGCCCTGCAATCCCATCGTCGCCTTTGACTGGACTTAACCGTCCAGGGGTCCTTTATCTTTTACATTTACAACTGCCATGCAATACCCATTATGGAACCCACACACAGATCATTTCTGGCCATTCAGGTGAATGAGACAGCTTTTTTTGCCATAGGGATTTATGGGTGCAATGCTGAGTGAGCACCAAAGATTTCCACTATGTTGAATAACCCTGGTAAAACAAACAGCAAAGTAATACTCTTAGTTGTAATTTTATATAATACTTCCAAAGCAGATTTGGGGATGTCATGGGGCACACATTGGAGGAAGAAATCACCTTGTGCTGGTGCTAATTCTTGCACTGGCACAAAAATATAGTTGAATATTTTCTTGAAAAAAATGGTTTCTGATTTTAAAATTGGCCTATAAATTGGTTTGAGTCCCATTTAAAAGCCATCTGAGTTAATGAGCATCACCATACCGTGTAGCATTCAGTTCCAAATATGTATGATTTTTCATCCTAAATTTGCTGTAACTCAGTTTCATTGGATGAGCCTAAGCTCTAGTAGTGTGTGTGCACAAGAGAGAATTTAGCTTTCACCCCACTTTCTTCATGGCATGCATAAATTTTAAAACTCTGTCTAAGCCTTCCTCTAAAAATTCCCAAGCATATTTGCTTTTTCTCCAAGGGAAAGTGCTCCATTCTTTATTTTGGTTACCCTCTCTGCACTTCTTTCAGCTCTAAGGTACACAGATATGGCCTCATAGATTTATATGCTATGGGTGGCCTTACTTTCTTCCCTTTCTTAAGAATCCCTAATGTGAACATACAGATATATAGATATAGATACAGATATATAGATACAGATAG